CCCAGAACTGGGAGAATTGTTTGAGATTTCAAGATATTCACACTGCTACTCTAGCCAAGCCATCAAATGCATTATCACTGAAGAGTGGGAACAGGCAAATTCATGCCTAAAACAATACACAGTCTCCTCACAGACCAAACTTTTTCAACTCTTATTAGTCTTTTGGGGGGTTTTAATAAAATAAATAATTAAATTGCATAATATTTCTTCATTACTGCCTCTTTTCCTGCAAATGTAACAAAACACATGGATTGTCCTAGTCACCATGTATGTACAGAACATAAAAAAGTAATTGGGGAATAAAATATATGATCATGTCTTCTAATTACATTTTACTATGTAATTTTACATCAATAATACAGAGAGACCAATACTATTAGGAGCATAATGTCTGCCAAGGCCTCCTCCTTCTACCACATAACACTCATACTATCGGACTGTATCTTAAACAAATAGCTGATCACACAGAATCAGTATTACTCAGTGGCTTAAAGTAGGTACCAAAACATTTCAAGCCCGAGTTAAATCAAATGTTAAAAACAGAATAGGAACTGAAGTATAGAAACAGATTAAAGTAGTTTGGACAGATTGTTGGCAGCTACTCATGCCCTGAAGATAAACTTTTATCTTGCCTTATGTGCAAAACTTAACTCTAGTCATTTATCATTCTCCATAGCAATAGATTTCCAAAGCATTTTAGTTCCCAGACAGGTAGGTTTTACAATGCTTGTTTTCTAAACATAATAGAAAATTCCAGAATGTCTGACAAATGCGACTCCTTCAGCCTTATTATTCTGCAGCAGTTGGTTTTATAAAGAGATAAAACGTGACATCAGATGCACAACTGAATTCCAAACTGACATTTTTCCCCGGTTTGATTTTCAAATACCTGAAGTTCCAGAACAGGCTAGGGCCCAGGCAATTAAGTTGTTTGTAGAACACCCATTCCTAACTGTCCAGAATAGAGATACTACTTGTATCACCTTTATGATATTTTTACTTGCAGTGACTTTGAGGTTCTGTACTAAGACATTAACACATGCATTTTCAGATCTACAAACCTAGAACTTTTAAACAAGTAAAACATACTTGCTGGCACAATGCTATCTTTCTGTGGAGAAACGCTTAAGAATTCATCATTTTCAAAATACCAGTTTTCGTTAATTAGCAGACCTTTTTGAGAAGGTAGACTGTGGAATAAAGCCTTTACTGTTTTGCTCAGAGCTCCTTCCAACAGCAAATCAAGCTGTATGAATGATGACTTTACTTGAATTGCGTAGTTCCTGCCAGTAAAATGGTTAAAAGTTTTAAAAACCATCATATCTGAGGCACTTACATTGTCACAGACATTAATTGCTACAAAGCCTTAAGAGAAAAATTGTTTTCCCATTTTATTCCCAAATTTTACTCATACCTTTGTATGAGCTTAAAATTAAGCTTCATTCATTTTTTTTTTGACACAGTACCCACCGTATCAAATTTGTATTCCTCTCAGAATTTCACATTTGAAAGTTCAGAGAAGATAAATATTCCAGATATACCAAATGTTACAAAGACGTGCACCAGATTTCCATGAAGAACCAGTTTCAGTTCATGTCAAAACACCTTTGTGTGTTAGCACAAGAATACCCAACCTGGTTAAGAAGCTGGTCACCGAACCAAGGCACAACCAAGGCAGAAGACAGGGATTTTAGCTTAGAGAAGGAAAGAGTTTCCTCTCCGAAATTTTTCTTCTGTCTTTTACAAACATAGTATCTTTGCTAATCCTCCCATAATGCTTGAAGTCATTATAACCTGCTTCAGCTGGCAGTTCCTGTGAACAATTATAAGGTTATACAATGTCTGGAGTCCCCCATCTAGCTTTTGATCTATGACTGAGATGGCGTACAGACAAATACAACAGAGAACACGCCAAGCAATTTAAAAAAGAACCTGCACACTACGTTAAAGGCCACTTAGGATCTAGCTTAATTTTAGTAAGCGAGTCTTCTGTTGGTGTAACACCAATCTGCCTACATTTGCATAACTGCTTTCCACTATGGTAGTCAGTTCTTTTTGGCAGGATGCCTGCTTATACACCGAATGAAAACAACCTTTAAGCCATCTTTTGTAGCCAGCTCACTGTGAACATTTCCTTTAATCTGGTGGAAGGCTGATAAATGGGACAAATCTTGCAAACTGCTTGTCATCTCTGCCATATGCAATGAGTAGAAACAAGATTCAGCCTTCACCTTCCCTCTCTCTCTTTTTAAATATATATAAATCCAAGGTATTATTAAAAACTTTTTGCTCTTAGATTTTTTCTTTTTCTTTTTTTTTTTTAATTTCAGAAGATCTTGTGGAAACCTCTGCTATATGGGGAGTCTGACAGCAGCAAAGAATTCACATCTGAAGAGTAATTTCCACCTGATCCATGCCCCCAGGAAGTAATCCTAACTCTAAACAAACCACCATCTAGCTGCCTCCATTCATAAAAGAAAGTAATACCAATGTCATGCACTGTCACACACAAATACACAAGACAGACTCACCTACATTAGTTTTTAGACTAGCTTTTCTAAAAGTCTGATTAAAAAAACCATGGGAATCTTAGAAATTAGATACATGCATGCAATTAGTATCAAGTCATATCAGATCATATGAAGATATCACACTAGCTAAAAGACAGTGTATCCAATAATTACAAAGACATCAAATAAGAATTTGATTTTATCAAAATAAGCTTGATCCCCTGAAATTCAGCTTCTGCTATGTAGAGTTAAAAGTATCCTAAAAATCTCAACATTCCTAGAGCTGCATTTGAGGGGTTGGTGGGAAGTAGAAGGGGAGGAAAACAAGCACATGCCACTGTCTCATTTCTTCCACACTTATGTGAAAAGAAGCCAGAATAGTTTTAAGCTGAATTTTGTAAACTACCCATTTATAACTCAAATAGCTTCTTTTTTTGACCGAAGATATAGGATACTGCAATGCTGGAGACTACATTAATACATCATTTAAATACTGAAGTTGGAAAATAGTACTTTGCCCCAAAACAAGCTTCCAGAGTAAGCTGGATTTTAAGATTAGTTCAAACTCTTTGCCTTAGTCTTTATAGATTTATAGTAACAAGTTATAGTTAAACTGTTTTATTGCACAGAAGATAAAATAAAATTACATATAGAACATAAAACCATGGAAAAACTAATGTGTTTTACAAAGTATTTAAATTGTCAACTATAAATTAAACAATAAATCAGTCAAAAACCACAACATCCAGGAAGAAACAATTACAGATGTAAGTGTTCACTCTTTAGTCAAAAAACAATTACTGCCATATGCTTGAAGTTCGAGGGGGTTTTTTGTGGTTTTTTTGTTTTTAAAGAACTGCAACACCAGTATAACTAATTAGCCTGTTGCATGCTTATAGAAAGTGTATTTTCAATGTCAAAAATCACATTCCATGTGTAGCAGAAGTATATATAAAATATTTATGTCAGAATTTTGGGAAGATTTCACTGAATTTGCTCTTTACTCACTTGACATTATAATGAACATTTACTTAATAGGAAAACATGCCACAGTGCAGATATGCACTTGTTTGTTGCAAGGAAAATTTAGAATCAACACACATTGACCTTCTACCACTTACACGTTGCATGCAAGTGGCCCAGTTTAAAGTAACATCTACAGATGCAGAAGTCTTCCTACTTTCTACTTTTCTAGGAGCTGTGATTTCAGCTGAAACAGCAGGAAAAGATGACATTGCAAGTAGCCCAAAAAGAAACATTACTCATCTTTTTATAATTATGCTGGATCCAAGAGATTTGAGTTGTCAGAAACAGAAAAGCCCATGTATTCCGAACCAAAGGGCGGTTAACCAAGACAGAGATTATATACAGACTATAAGTAAACTTTGTCAGCCTAGATCAGCTATAGATCATCTAGTGCACCTAACTGGCATTTGAAAGTCATTAGCAAGGCACATTAACTATACAGTAATTTCTTCTTTTAGCACACACCTAGCTCTAGTAGTGTTCTGTAGGCTGTCAGAAATGTTTGTATTTTCTTGAAAATCTTCTCTGCAAATTTAGCCTTTTATCTGAAATATATGCTAGCACTCCAGTGCCACAATGAAATACCAAGTGCCATTAATGTGGGGTTTACCAATATCACAGCTACTAGCTTTGTGAAATTTAGTGCTGTCAGACAAATAATCAGGCAGTTCTTCAGGATCTGAAGCAAAATTGTAATACAAAAGGACAGAAACTCATTTGAGTTATACGGGTGACATCCAACAGTCTCTCAAACTTTAATCAAAACAGCTATAATTTATACGGTTCCTATAAAGGAAATATTTGTTTCTCAAAGATTAAGAGCACTCCCCTATCACCATGTAAAGAGAAAGAGCTAATGAGAAGTACTTTTCTTTTTCTCACACAAGAAAATTGTTGGCTTTGTTGCGTTTTTTTTTGACTGACCAAAAAGGCAGCATTATTTCCAAGTAAAAAAAATTCAGTTACTTCAGGTTTTTAGATCATTGTAATCATTTTGTTTCTTGAAAAAATTAATCACATATTAGTTGGATCAGATTTCAGTTCTTTTCAATTTAATAACTGAAATACAATCAAGTGACATTTAAATGCAAGTCGCAAGATAATGATTAGTCATAAATAATTTCAAATACTGTTAAATCATAATAAACAAATACAATCTTAAATATAACTAGTAAGGTTGTCTTAATATTTGCTTTACCTAAACATTTTTTGTAACAATTCATTGAAATCGTCTATTTATAGGAACGTATCTGTAAATGTCTCGTGTTCACAGCAAGATTTCTCCTGTTTTACAGTCTAAGCATACTGTATTTGACACATGTGGACCCTCTCCCATTAATCCAATGAAGGTAGACCTCCTACCATCAGTTGATCTGACCACTTCAAATTGGCCACAATGCACAATCTAAAATTTTACCACAATCACAGTTTATCGTGTAATCAAAGTAACTTATCAAGACATACCAGTTTTTTCCGATGTTCTGAGAAACACCATGTCAGATGGGATTCGTTGATTCTGAGGAGAGTGGGGGGGGGGGAAAAAGGTATTTTTTATAAGTAGGAAAAAAAAAAAGTTAATTCCAATCAAATGTCCAGTAAGATCTGTCACCAAAAGGTCACACTTGGATTGAAACTCAATTAAAATAGGATTTCTCAAAGTACTTTACATTCAGCATTTGCAATTCAGAAATCAATATTTTCGAAAAATTATACAATAAGCAAACAACAGCTAATCCTTTCAGATGCTCTTTATAAGTGAATCATAAATACCTTAAGAACTAGAGCAGATTTATATTTTCTTGACTGAAAACAGTAGTTCAGGAATATAAATATCTAATTGAAATATTTTAAAAAACAATTTCACTGAGCAAGACTCTGGAACTCAGCAGATATAATTTTTAAAAGTGAAATTTAAAACATGTCTTGGCACTCAAGTTTCAAACATTACGTATACCAAGTATTCCCTGGCATATTCTCCTCTCTCTCAACACATACAAACATACACAGAGGAAACAGCAAGTGAGGGAACAGCATTTTCCTGTTTCATATACCTAAACACCTCTCCTTTACAATTGCAAAAGAGAATAGAATTTCTTCCTCGGTATCTGAGACAGAGTCATGTGCAGAGTCAGGTACATCTACATGCCTATTTTACCATTTCCAAGTACAGAACTATCTGGTATCAAATCACACTTTCAATTCTTTGACGACCACAGAAAGACCAACCTAAGCTTTCACATCTTAAACAAAATGAACGATACTCTTCTCCCAAACAAATACTATCTACTACATGACCACCCAGCTCCTTAGCTCTCCCACCACTTGGTCACAAGGCATCTACTAACAGCAGTTACACATTGCCAACACAGGGTTTAAGAATGAAAAACTAGAGAAAGTTAAAATAACCGACAAGTCAAAACCTGAGAGAGATACAGGACTAGAAAGGAAAAAAGCAACAGGCTAAACTAACAGGGACCACGGTGAACAGCGGACAAAGCAATAAGCACAGATACTATATTCAATTGCAGTTTCTTCCATCACAACGTATGTCCAGTATGCCACATGTCATGCTGTTTGATAATGAAGCTAAACACAAAGATTCATTTATGTTTAATTTATAGACTACCTTTAGTCAATTACTAATTCTCAGTGGATTATTAGCAATGACTTTACTACTAATCTCATGCTAAAAAAACCCCTTAATATTAATTTCAGATTATTCATTAAGAGGATATAACATACAAATATTTTTCACATAGAAAGTACCTCCATTACAGAATAGATTTCAGCTTTTCCTCTTACACTTGGTTGATATTGCCTTGAAAGCCACTGAATAGCTAAGGCTTACCTTCTATTTTTTAAGAACTGAACTGACTGTTTGAGTGGAAAAGAAAATAAATGTTGCTGACGAAGCCCATCACATGGTGAACTTCATGGATTTCAGCTTTAAAAACCTGACTGAATTTACTCAACATAAACTGTTAAGAAGTATGTTCAGTATATGACCATTTCAAAACTACACACCTATTCCGCATTTCACACTTTAATTACAATCAAACCACAAAATTAATACAGCAACAATAACTAAATTGTGGCTTTATTTTGTGCATAAAGTACCTACTATAGAAGACTGGTTTACCGTTTCATGCAGAAGAAACAGCAGTGAAGATGGGGACAAGCTGATGTGAAAACTTCAAGACATTAAGCAATGGAACATCTCATGTACTGAATGCATGAAGCTCAAGTGCGTTCAGCATATAGCAGCTATGAATGCAATTATCCCAACAGGAATCTAGGCAATAGCCCAGACCGCAGCAAACACAGTCAAAAACCTCCTAGAAGAATCAACGCAAGCACAGAAGGGCATTTTTGTTCATTTGAGTCAGGCCAGTTCTCCGTCTCAACGCACAAGGACACAACACTGCTCTAAACAGAAAGGAAGCCAGCATTCTCAAATTGCTTTGATTTGAAACCAGACATGCAGTTTCTCATTTTTAAACCTCTACCTTTTACTTTTTCAAAGGTAGCACTTATCTTTCACCACTGCATGTCAAAAGTAGTATCTTAGAAGTATGCACACTCTCCGTCTCCTCCAGTAAAACAGCTCAAAATACATCTGTCAAGATCATTAAATGCTGCTTTGTGTGGGACCTTCAAAATGCTATACCTGACTATCCATAAAATCAGTTCAGAGAATGAAAAAAATTACACTGCATCACTTATAATAGAGAGTAAATGTGTATTTATAAGACAACACCACTGAAGCAGCTAATGCTTCTTCCTTGTATATAAATGCTGTACTCTTAATATTTGCCTTAGTTCTTGAGAAGCCACACTCATATAGTAATAATATTTATGACCACATAACATCCTGAATACTGTAGGCAAAGTCTGTTATCCCAAAGAAAACTTCCCAAGATCAGCGTGCAGCCACAGCAGTGCCATTTGGAATAGTGTGACCTGATAGATCTGTCAGCCAACTGTCAGATTCTCTGTGTTATGGGCTCAGCTTTCAAAATAAGATGATGTAACCTCTCTAAATCTCTGGGAGGCAGGTACCTCTTGTCCGCTCCCTATAACAGACTCTCAAGGACACCAATTCAGAAGAGGGACTGGAAGCAACTGCAACTGTTTTTTTCTGCTGTTGGGAAGCTCAGTATAGAGGACCGTGAAGGGCTACAGAGATGGTACTATCTCAAGCAAACAAGATGCCTGAAAAACGAGCAAGTTTGGAAACACTGCAAAATAGATGCATATTCTGGTTTACCTAAAGCTACTATGTGGTTAGAAAAAAAACCTGACTTATACCTTAAAATTATGCATTTTCATGCATGGATACTTCCCGATTTGCAGCAATTCCCATTTATTTGTAAAAGCACAAAGAGTTAAAAATTCTGTGCTTATTTGTCTGTCAACAGTATGCGCTTTAGACAATGCTCACCTGCAACTGCAGCTAGCACAGCTTTTTTTTAATCTTGCCTTATAACAGAAAATAATTAAAAATGTAGTAAAATTTATTATTCAGATTCATTTATTATCCAGCTTCAACAATGAATACGTCATATTCAAGTTTGGGAAAAAATGCAGTAAAAAATAACCTTTATATTATTATGCATTTATTAGAACGAAAAAAGAGGAAGGGGAAAATGCAACTTCGAAATTAAATAAATCTTTCCTTAAATGACAATAACAATTAAACAGATATCCAGTCTTCATATAGATTAGCTATACATTTTTGCAGCTTCCCTGCCAGCTCTGACATAAAACCATTACACAAGTTTCGGGTTACTGGCTTCATGCCTACCAATTTCCAGTTACTTGTAAACAAGCTAACACACTTGACAAACACCCAAAAATTTTGCAAAAATAGCAGTCTAATGACCTAATAGTGAATTAAAGTTCTAATAATCTGAATGAGGTATATGGCATTTAAATCATTACAAACTTCTATGCAGAACACGTTTCACATTCAATAAGTGAAACATTTACCTGGTACTTGCTATCCAAGATTCAGATTGTCAGATTACGCCTGACAATATTGGGCAGAATCACAGAATATCTCAAGCTGGAAGGGACCCATAAAGACCAGAGTCCACATCCCTGCTCCTCATAGGGCTACCTAAAAATAAACTGTTTGACTAAGAGCATCATCCAAACACTCCTTGAACTCTGACAGGCCTGGTGCCATGGCCAATTCCCTTGGGAGCCTGCTTCAGGGACCGATCACCCTCTCAGCGAAGAGCCTTTTCCTAATGTCCAATCTCAGCTTCCCCTGATGCAGCTTCATTCCGTTTCCTTGTGCCCTATCCCTGGTCACCAGAGAGAGGAGATGAGCGCCTCCCCCTCCGCTGCCTCCCTTGAGGAAGTTGCAGACCGCTATCACACCAGTCATGTGATCATTTTCACAGTTTAATAGAAAAAATGCATCTTGATTTTACGTCTTCTTAATGTGTTCTCTCTGCCTGTTTTTCTTTCCTGTAAAATAATGTAAGCTTTTCTGCATTAACATATACTTTCATGCGGGGAAGGCCAGAGACTCTCCTGTCTTTACTTTCTCTCTTGGAAAAAAAAATAACAAAAGCAGACCAATCAAAAAACTTGTAACAGTATTTAAGGTTGAAATCTAGTTTTCCATCAGATTTTCTGTATTTTGGAAGCAGAATGAAAGGTACCACAGTAGTACTAGGTACCAAGAAACAATGTCACTATTACTGCTGACACTGGAGAGCAAAGATCCCCCTGCAAAGACGTACCTAGTCACTATAAAAGACTGACTACACGGAAACAGATGGCAAGTATGCTACAAAAATCTTTAACACCTCATTACAGAGAAAATTAAGTTGTGTTGTACATTGTCACAGACAAACAGCAGCAATATGTCAATCACGTTAGTCCTCTCATGTCATATTTATCAAAGTAGAACAAGTTAAAATGACAACACATACAACTTCAAGCATTCAGAAACCCATGAAGAAACTATGTAATCCCAATTACCGTGGAGATGAAGCTAGAAATGCTTATTGATATACACTGAAATTTGAATATATAAGTCATGAAAATGCCTTGAATACATTGTTTTGCTTAACTCTGGGCAGAATTAGTTCCAGGGAAGAAGGGCTCCTACTGCTCTCAGTGTTTGTCTGTGCTGCAGGCTTACAGATGCGTATCTGGAGATCTACAGCAAGACAATGGTCAACATGAGGCAAGTACTTCTGGGTTCTCGTGGCTAACTCCATGCCACCCAGGAATACTAGCCAGATTGGAAAGCAAGAAAATGTATAAACATACCTATACTTTCCTGCAACACAGACTACAATATTCACTTGAAAAATACAATTTCTAATAGCTTTCAAATTACTTTTTCATCTTTCTGATGTTATTATAATGAAATTGTCATTTACATAAAGCTTCTCCAGCTCCCTAGGCAGTCTTTCCAATTCTCCTACAAATGTACACAGCTACAGACCCTCAGAATTTTGCATTTACTGCCCTTTCTTCTCCATTCATGTAATGAGTCATCTGCTTTTCTCACTGACTAGAATATTCCTGCTTGCTCCCGAGTTATAAAACGAAGAGGTACTTCCCAGTTGTCTTCTTGCATCTGCATGCTGTGCAATGCTGTATGCTAGCATTAACTGCAATCCTTACAAATATTGGATTAATTTCACTTTACACCCAAGATTAAGAAAAAACAATTGTTTCTCTTTACAGCTTCAAGAAAAGCCCTGAGTTTTAAGATAAAGTATTACTGCTCTACATGTTTTAACACACTCTTAAGCATTGTTATTATTAACTAAATGTGTTATTACCATTAACTAAATATGTTAAAGTTTTATGCCTTCTTTACATCTCCAAAATGTATTCCAAACTGTCAATAAGTTACAGTTTAAATAGCAAGCACTGAACTCATCAATTGTCTTATTTAAGAACACTATACACACCTGTACTCACACTGGAAACTAAAAATTTATCTTAACAGAAGTCAAGAACATCTTCTAGGAAGTTGCATGTCTGTTCAAGGCAGGAGACCATTTTCCAGCTAACATATACCAATGTCTTCTAGCTTTTAAAAACAGGCAATATTTTCTTCTGTTCAGGCCTCTTCCTGCCCTGGTATTCACACATTACAAAATTTTCAGTTGAAACAACAGATATATTACTTGGAACAAAACTCTTTTAAGCACATCGCAGTCACTTAGAGCTGCTTTGAAATTAATCAGGCCTATTAAAAAATATAATCAGAGTATATTCAAGGCTTAAATATAGAAAAGCCTTTCACTTATGTTGTTTGTTAGTATTTGTGATGCAGTCACTAGTTAACATATGGATCTGTAGCTCAAATGAGTCATTAATTTCACTGCAGAAATGCTGTTGATGCATCTTCCAGTCAAATACAATGTTAACTTGTTTCTTTGCCATTACAGTGAGCAATTGAACATTTCACTCCTGACTAGTTCTTTGGCTTAAAAGTCATACTCTGAAATTGAAAACTGCTTGCTCCAACAAAATACACTTCTCAATAAAACGAAAAAACATTACATTTCATTAGTCTGAAGGCACCTCCAGCTAGGCCTAAAAGGAAAAAAAAAAGGTCTGCTAGGGCAGGAGGGAGCTTGAAGCTGAAATGCAACATTCAGACAATTATATACATCTCACTGAGATACCCGAGTAAAATCTTCATCAAAAAGAACTCTACTCATTATTTCCCTAAATTCTTAAGCATTACTTTTTTTTTTAATTAGAAACTTCACATATTCACAACATATGAGCTGTAAAAGCTGCTGCAAATAATGCTAAAGTAGATGCTAATGACCTACCTCATACAAGACACATTGATTCCCAAATTCCAGCTTTCCTAATTTTAGCATAATTCAGACTGATGGATCTCAGCAAATTTCAGGAAAGAAAGATTATCTATGTAACCACTAGAGTCTTCCTTATACTCTGTAATAATTAATTCCAGGTTTAGAGACTAAGAAGGCCATAAAAATTTCCTAATAAAAATCAAAGCAAGTGTCAATCTCAGTCTGCTAGAAGACCTGGCATAGGCACAAGTGAGCAGCTGCAAGCTGACTCCACCTGCACTCCGAGATAGCAAGGTGTAAGGCAAAACAGATGTAGAGGCCAGACATACTAGTGCTAATCTTGTCTAGGCTAGTATATGCTGCTCAGATAAAGCCCCAAAAGATATTGGCAGACAAAAAAAAGAAAGAAAAAAAAGGCAAGAAATAGAATAAGCTACATGAAAACAGGTATTTTAATATGAGAACAACAAACCAAATGAGACTTGGGCATATGTTCTTTATTTGGACTATAGAAGAAACAGAAAGGAAGGAAACCTAAGTTTTCTAAAACAAACAGAAGAGGGGATTCATCTATAGCTGAAAAAAGAAAATAACCTCTAACCACTAACAATTTATGAGTTCTCCGAATTCTCCAAGTGAGGAGAGAGGTGTTAACAAATGAGAAAGCATAAAATGTACCAGGATGGCATATTTACTGAAAGATTTTCTTTTATTAGAATTAATTTGCTCCACTAAATGGAGTAAAACCAGCAAAAAGTTTAGAAATGTCTAGTCACTGACTAGGTTCCACTAAGGATTCTTCCTGCCAAGCTTCCCCACAACACTTCAAAACAAGCTGTAGATACAAGGCTTCAACTTGAGGTGCCTCCTTCCAGCATCTCCAGGGATTAGCTCTCTGATACAAAGCATGATGGGAGTCACCTGCTTGCACCCAGAAACTGAGCCAGAATGAACTTAAGTAAAAATAGATTCTTCTGACAAGAAAATTAAGTTCACTTTCAAAGTCACAATAATTCCTTAGTACCCTAGAAAGCCAACAGAAGTAAGCAATGCTGTCTTCTTTTACATTTACATTATTCAATCATACATATATTATAATATATGCATAATAACTAAATATAAATATATTTATATATAAATGAAACTTATCCTTGAAGACTTCAGACACAGAGAAACACTGATCTGAGCTTCAGAAGGAAGGTATCAGTAATCAGACAGCTTAGAACATTCACCACAGCACAAGTCAGAGAACTTAATTCAGTAACTGTATTCCCTTCAGTAGATAAGCATATATCAATTTATAAAATACAAATGCTTGCATACAATTAAGCTTATAATTAATCCAAAAATAGACTTAAGATTCTCAAATAAGACAAACTAAAATACTAGCTAGTTAGTACTTTTCAGATTAGTACCTCAATATAGTTTTCTTCAGAAGGTAATTAGCATGATAATAATATTTAGTCTCTAAAATATATTTTAAAAGTATCAACCTTTTCCACTATGATGAGGTCTCCAACTTGTATGTCTGAACTCTTAACTTGCACTTTACCTTAAAAAAAAGAAGAAATGTAATCAACTTAGGCAGACATTTAGAGTCACAAGAATATAAATCCCAGTATAAATCTTTATACTTAAAGAGGTTATTGTTTGGTGAAAATGTTACAATTTGTACAACTCTGATGAACACATTAATAAATAGATTCCATCTGTTTGAATAAATAATTCATTGGTTTAAAAAGTCTATACTTTTGTAACCAGTTACCTATTGTAGAAGTATTAGAGGAAAAAAATATGTATGAAGATGCTCAAGTTTGATCTGTAGTATCAATAATGGAGTTATTGGAAAATTGGAAAAAGGAGTCTTTCCCATGTCCAGCTAGACAGCATTTCTGTTTCTGACAAGTCCAGAGTTGTTAGGCTTTACAGTCATGGAGCATTCTCACACATAAGTTGTCAGTCACAGCCCAGTTACCAACAGACAGCTTTGCTTGGCCACTAAAGTTACTGATGTAATTGGCACTTGGTGGCAATTATAGTGGAAAAGAGGCAAGTCTCTCTCAAGTCAGAAAAAATGCCTGAAGATTCAATTTAGAAAAGTAAAATATCAAAAACTGAAACAGAGGTTTCTCCTTCTCTAGAGCTGCCCATGAAGTAACGGCTGCGAACAACTCATTCAAAATGTACACACCACACGTACCAATTTACTTTCTGTAGAGTATGAATATTTGTAAGACTTAAGTTTTAACATTCTTATTCGATGGACTGGAAAACTGAGATAGAGAGGTTAAGCTACTGCCCAAAATAAGTTACCATTGATCCCATTAGAACTGAGGGGTTCTAGTCACAGGTCCTTTCTGCAATTCCAGAAAAAGTTGCTTCCCTCAGTTTAAAAAACTAAAACAAAACAAAGAACAACAACCTTGTAGACAAGCATGTCATGACATAAGGATATCCTCTTCCAAGATATAACAGGCGATACATTCAGAACCTGTTAACTCAGGCTAAAAACACACACACAGCCTGACCAGCTGAAACACACATCCAGATTAAATACCTTTTCACATCAAAAGCAGTATCACAATTCCAAGCAGCAGGACTCTCATCAGCAGGTATCAGATGAGAATTGTATCAGCAATCAGTCTGGAGTTTAATCAAAAGTGTTATGAATAGCAGATCTGTCAATGCACATTCTATCATCTCTCGAAGTTATACCAAGTGTAAAACAAAAAAACTAACCTAGGTTCCAAATCCGTTGAGACCTTCCCATTATAACTCTCAATGAAGAGAGATAAGGTAGTTAACCTCAAAAAATTCTTGTATGTGCATTTAGTCAAAGACAGAAAGATTCATGTAATAATTTATTATTTTCAGTATTTGCTCTTTAAATTTGCATTAATGCAAAAGTAACAGTTGTTTTATGTTTAATTCATTCTAGTTAGTAATAGATATATTTGGATAGCTAATTTTTAAATACATTTTCCATAACGTTAGCACTTCTAAAATGTGCAATGTCAGAGGGAAATCAGAACTTCTGTTTGGCCTGTCTGCAAAGTTAGTTCTGAAAGCCAGTCTGTTATTGATAACGATTTTTTACACCAATTCAATTTCTCAGTTGCCAGAAACACCTTCCCCTCCTGCCCCCAAATAGAAAACAAATTACATCTTCAATCTGACCCCTAACTCTGTCAAAGCACATTTGTGAGGGCAAAGAGAGCAGCAGAAGACCAAGGTATAAAAAGCAAGGTATAAAAAGCAAGCCATAAAAGTAGCAAGAAACATCACCGATTCTCTACAGAAGTTTCAAGATACATGGAAATTTAATTACTGTCAATCTCTCCACATTTTTTAAAATCTGAAGCAATACTAAAAGAACAGTCTGATACCAAATAAACATATTTAGTCTGATTAACTGTACGAGCCAGTGAATTCTCTCTATATAACTACCCTAGTCTTGCCTAGAAGCGAATACTATATACCAGAAAATCATAATAACATTTGCTTTGCGTTCCAAGTCTGTTAGCTTTAACAAATATACAGCATTTCTTATTCTGTATTCAATTCCTCCCTTAACATTTTTCATCAGTTTATCTGTGTGATAATCAAGTTGATCAGCTCATTATAGTAAAAACAGCCAGAAAATCCTAGTACCACCTGCGTTAATTCTCAGATCTACACCATTTACACAGTTATATATGATGAAAACCCCTTGGAGAGACTAATCAAATGCAACTACAAGCATTTTACGAACCTAAGCAATTGAATCCAGTCATATTCTAACAACACCTACAGTAAACACCAAAAGACACTAAGTCTTGAAGGACAAGAGAAGACAGAAAATGATGCAACATATGTAGGGCAGACAAAAAGCAAAGACTCCTGGTGCCACACAGACCAACAGGAACCCACACTGCAGCTTTCCTCAGTCTAACAATCCTGGGAATTTCACACTATGAACTGAAAAGTTCCCTTATCAGACTGTTTTCTAGGTGGCTTAGTCTAACACTACAGAACACCATCTTTATTACACGCTAAGATGTCTTATTAGAGCATCCTGTGTATGGTCACACAAAAGGAAGTGGCCCACGACATACAAGACAATTCTACAATGAATCTGAATAGCAGGACACATGCCACTAAAAACTATATGATAAAGTGTGGCAGTAATTCAAATAGCAGCTTAAAATTCTGAAAGTCAACAAATAACACTTTCCTTTAGACTAGGAGAAGCAAGAATCATTGATACCACTTCAGAGAACATTAAAATAACGCAATACTACATCTTAGTGAAGATGCATTTAGAGGAAAAAAAGACACTGAATGTTATTCACTGCATAAATTATTTTTGCAAACTATTTTTTCTCCGGAAACATCGCCGTAGCAAAACACTCTTCACCATCTGTGTAATTACCAATAAAAAGTCCAAAGCTGTCAGAAGTGGTTGCGCATCCAGACTTTATAGTCCACCAAGGCGCAAGGCTTTCGCCTAAAGCAACATACAGAATTATGTAGAACTGGAACACTGAAATGTGTCTGCAGTAATTCATTATACTCCCAAGATAAAGCCTTTTGAAATGAATCATAATGATTTGAAAAACTAATAAATATCTCATATGTGCTAACAAGTATTTCACATAAAAGTTCAAGAAATAAAGAAAACAAAATGTGAGTATATACCATAACAGAAAGGACTTTGTTTTCTTTTATTAAAAAGTATCTCTACTACATGAGTGCAAACCACTCCCAAAAGAACAGTAACTTCTGAGTGGCATTTTCAACTTCTTTTTAATTTGCTATTCTGTCTTGCACATGGCACCTTGAGTACCGTCTGAAGCCCTGCTCCTAGAGTTGGGAAGAGAGCTTTCTTTAACCCATAAATATAAAACTCAAGTGCAAGGAGTCAAGTATAGACCACATGAAAGTTTTACCTAGCATCTATTAGCTTGAGGTGTCAGCATAATTAAGAGTATATGTAATCATGGGGTGGCGGGGAGCAGGGCAAAGCTTAACGCTACAGTGAGTCCAAGATGAGGATGGTGATCTTTCAGTGCAAGTGCTGTCCTTAGGTCCCTCTTTCAAAGTGTAGTGGGGTAGAAAGCCTTCATTTCTCTTCGCCAATCTCCAGGATGCTGCAAAAGTGTGGAAGAAAAGAGTCCCCTTGACATTCCCCTCTACCAGCCTCTTTTTGAAATTCTTTCTTACATTAAAATTTCAAGTTCTGTTTCTGCTGTTGCTTACTGCTTCCTTAATCAGATTAAATTGATACGATTCCTTACAAACTTATCTGTTCCAAATGGTCTAAATACCAGGAATGAAGTAATCAGTAGGTCTGATGGGAAGCAATAATGACCTAACATTGTACCTCTAGATTCAGAAATAATGTTTTTTTTCCCTAAATGCAGTGGCTTTTTGAAAAGCAGGACAACCTGTTCGTGAAAAGTTGAAATTCTAAGGTTATAAGAGGTTTCAATACACATTTCAAATAACTGTGGGAGAATAATATTACAGTAATCAAGACATTCTGATGAACATCTGCTTTAAAAGTTGCAGATAACAGGTGTAAATGATTGAAAACTGACTGCCTCTTGACAGAGACCATTTTGCAATTTTTAAAAAAAGCTGAGATATAAACTCAGCAAGTTGGCATTTTAGGGACAGTGCAGCTCCTACGGCATAAACAGAAGTTCAAAAGTAAAAAAACCACCACATATATATTCAAAGTACTATATCTCTCTAAAACAGACTTTTCAATTCTGATTTTTAAAGGAAAAATACTAGCTTTCACACTTCGTTCTCTTCTCACATATAGCAGTTACTGATATTTTCTCAGCATATATTTTCAACTTCACTGCATTCTTAAATACCCTTTAAGGATACAGCAAAGACATAAGCCTTCCACATTTGAAGCCTGGATGGAATTATTTCATTTATCTCATCTCTCCCAACATTCATTTTTAATTTTGCTTTGCAGGTTGCAAAGCGAGGAAAAGTTCTCCAACACTTGCGAAAATCATGTTAAACATCTTGAGATGAAGTGTCAGACGCATGTCTCTTCTGCATCTTGCAGTTGTGACTATTACAGTTCGTTATTTTCTTAATGATCTTTTTTCTTCAAGATTTCAGTAACACCATGTGGGCAAACCTAACTAGGAAAGATTCAGAGCAGGACTGCCAACTTCAAGAATGGGAAGGAAAAGAGTTAAAAATTTTTTACAGTTTAATTATCCACTTGGCTTTTGGCAGGTTAATGAACAAGGTAAGAGCTGGTTTATGAACCTGGGGTGATTCTTCTGCAGAGTATCAGTGGTTTTTTTTTTCACAGGCACTTAACTGGTCATACCTAAGTGCACAAAAGAAGCAGCTGTGCCAGAAGTTTAATGGTCACTTCGGAAAGCCACAAACCTGCATGCACAGGTCTAAAATTTTTTCCATTACAGTTTGTGCTCTACAAAAAGATGGGCAGGTAAGTAGCTCTGGAGCAGAAAAAGGCAATTAAATTGACCAGATCTTCAATAGCAAGGTAATTTCAATTCTTCAGGCACTCTTCTTCCTCCCTCCAACATTGACTTGCATACTGACTGAAAATTGTCTGCTAAGGATTAGGAGACTGATATGCAAAAAAGGAAAGCTGATTTTGCAACAGGCATCTCAGTAGAAAGATTAAGATGGCAGAATGCATCATACACTGAACAACTTAAGAGATTCAATACTATAATCTAGGAAAGTATATGGGGAAAAGATTCACATGAAAGACGTGGAGACAGGTGCACAAGTTAATTAACTTTCTCACAAGAAAAAAATAATCAATACTTTCCCTGATTTGCATGTTTCCTCACTTGCCACAAAGGGTCGAAAAAGCAGAAACCATTCAAACTTCATATGTAGCAGGTTCACCTTCTTGATAAGTGCGAAGTTACACATAGCAAATTCACCAAGGGACAACTGAAGACTGAGCTTTGCCATGGGATCAGAATTAGTCTATGGACATTAAGCTGGACATTGCTGTCTAAGCACAATTAAGTAACACTCAAAACAGATGCCCTGTTCTCCCTTTATTTCCTGCTCACAATAGCTTATTATTACAAAAACCCTTAAGACTTACTGAACAGAGCAAATACTTCCTCAAGGTCTTGAATTACTAAAAAGAAATTCTAAGTCTTCAAGAGTTAGTAATGTGAATCCAACACCTTCAAAAAGCTGGTACTTCTCACACTAGCAACGGGCCAGTCATAAGACAACATCCACGTTTTACATGTTTAGGGGTTCCTGGGGCTAAGAATGACTTCAGAGAAAGCGGACACTGCTAGGTAATCAAAGACTTCTTGATTTAAATACATTGCGATGGTGTATAAAAAGATTTTAAGTGACAAATCAGCCTACTCACACTATCTTTACACAAGTAACTAATAACAACTGAAATCACAGTAGCTTCCCTTGCTAGAAATATGGTTTTTTCCCCTATAGTAAACAAACAATTTTGCAAAACAAATAAGTTGAAGTTATTACGGTAGATAAAAGAAAAGATAATTTAAATAGTACAGTTTTCCCACCATCCAATTTGAGCAAAGGCAACCTGCTTAACCTCTCTATGTCAGTTTCTCCATCTTTTAGATGGAAAAAAATCCCTATTTCAAAGAAAAGGCTGTAAAAACTACACAAGTCATAAAATCACTAGGAAAAACAAATATGCTAGAGCAGTATAAAGTGCAGTTCCACTCTGAAAAGTGACTCTTAAGAGTGGTATCGATTTTCAGGCTTTTAATTAAATCAGTATCAAGTTTGTTCATTCACAAGTAACAAAGCCTTCTTTCTCTAAACCATCACCCTATAGGCTACTACAGTAAGCCTAACTGAATTTTTCAACTAGAAGAATACTGCCAATATTAAAAATTACGTAGATTATACTGAAAGTTATTTATAAAAATAGTTTGCAGAAGTACAGTACTTGACTTTCTTAATTTGCACAGATAAATACTTAGATCTTTCTCAAAACCTGTAAAAATCTTGGCCTAATTTTATCATAGCTGGAAGTCCCACTTTTTGGCCTCAAAAGAATACCTTTCAGTCTCAGAATGCCTTATGATGAAAAAACCCTATATTATGAAAAAGGTGCGATTCATCATCTATTCCTTGTTTTATATATGTGTTTGTGACAATTTTTAGTACAGCTTAATTTTGAGTGGGGACTTAAATAATGTTTTCATTCTTAAAATTGGCCACAACTCAAAATACTGTTAGCTCATCCATCACATCATTGTCAACATGGGATTTCGAGTTCCTTATAAGCAAAGATCTTAAATCTTTACTTCTCTCAACTATCAGTCTTCAAAAAAAACCAAAACGCAGAATAAAAACCAAATACGAATTAATGATGGCACTGACAACAAAACCTGAAAGTTTGATAGATCTACACGTTTGTAGGTAGAAGCTGATATCCTTTTTTAAAAAAAGGACATTTTTAAAACTTCTTTTGAACAAGTCACTGCTCTCTACATGTCAGGTCCTGATATAACTGCTGGGCTTTATATATACACTGCTGTACACTATTGTAAAATCTCTAGTCCATATCTAGAGAACAGCCATGCCAAAGTGATCAAATTCCTTATTTCTAGTAGAGCCTACAAAATGAAGTTTCTCAAATATGCATAACCTAACTAAATATTTCATGAACTGGGAAAGAGAAAATCAGGATTGCAAACCTTCTACTTAAGTGCTGATTAAAAGCCTACCAATTTACCAGAAACTCCAATATCTGGAGTACTGGGGAAAAAAATTCCTCCCTAGCCTTCTAAACAAGTTTAAGTGAAATAAGAATCACAAAAGACACCAAATTTAGCTCTTAAGCCAGCAAATGACAGTCTTGACATTTGTGTCACATTAGTAACTAAACTATATGTTTGCTTCCAGAACTAAGAATTTCAGATTACTAACGCTATTGCTGAATAGGGTAGGACTGTACTATCTATTTCAAAGGTGAGTGGTCAGTGTCCTACTCTAACAAATCTAAAAAAATGAATAAACCAACTAGCAGGTTAAATTAAAACTTTGAAAGAAAAGCCATTAAGAGTCCGTTTCTTTACAGATTGTACTGAAGACTGTAAAGATCTGGAGGCCAGCAACACAACCACTTGTGTTAAATAAATGACAGCTATCCCATTTGCAAATTTCCACAGTTGTATGTCTAAATGTTGATAAAGCCGTTTCAGGCTGGCAAGGAAAGGAAGAACAACAGGCTAATATTCTCTACGGTTTTTCCCTTCTGTATGCAAACTCCAGAAAACAACACAAGTCTCTATACTGTGAGGAAGCAGCATAAATTCCTCACAGTTGCTAGGTTATGTCACCACTAATGAGAACGGTTGCCTGTTTACTTACCTGCCAATTATTTTAAAAAATGAGATAAGATTTCAGACAGAATATACTTGTGTTACATTATAAGCTTTTAATCCATTTTTTCTGGAGGGAATATTAGCCAGAGCTACTCCAAGAGTTCAGTTTCTAATTAAGATGCCTAGATCTGGTGAGGTTACTCTTCCCACTGACTCTCAGAAGACATCCACCAAGATATACCAAAGCGTGCAATGAAATGTATGTTAGGAATTAGTGAGCTGAATTTACGCCATATACTCTAACTGCTTGAGATGTGACCTCACATTTCTTAACATCTTCCCACTTCAGAGAGCTATTAAGGATTTTCCTTGGCATAAATGCATTAACAGACTTCACAGGATACTGTAGCAAAATAACTTTTGAAGGTAATAGCAAGGTCATGTTGTCTTGTAAGGTTATTCATTACAGTTTGACTTAATAGGTTATTCATTATTTTTTGGCACTTTTCTATGAGGCACTCTGTTTGGAGTCTAAACACTAAAATGTACTAAGCAACATAGAACTGGAATGCCCAGTTTCTCTCTCTTATGCCCATGTTTAAAATTTACAGTATCCTACGAAATTTGTCACTTCACAGCTGAAGTGCTTCATTTCCTTAAATGTCTTTGTGAAAAACCATCAAAGGTTTTGAGTCCAAAGAAACCATAACTGTGATTTCTCCTTTTATTAATTTCTGGAAAGAAAACTGGCTGTTCCTACTGCACGATCATATTGATTTAAAATTATATGCAAAAATTAAAATAAGTATTTTTTATACTGAAGCTAACTCACAACACATCTTTCTTTTCTTAAGCACAAATATATCCACCAAGTTTGAAAACCTCTAGTGAATTCTAATTCAATTGCATTTCTTAGTTGCTGAACCCTTATTTCCCATATACACTTGATACATAGCTGACAGTGTTGCTGAGTTACTGTTCTGTATCAATTTCAGAGAAGAACTGCACTTTGAAGTAATAGCACCTGAACAGCAGAATGCTTCAAAAATATATACAATTTTATACATACACTTTTCTTTTACAATCAACAAAAGATTTGCATCACTACTTAAGCAGGTAAAGTTTAACAGCATTATTTATCTGAGGAAAATCAAGTACTTCATTTAGCACAGTATCAGTTTCATTCTGAATAGTGCAGCCTGTGAATTATTTCTTTGTACTGAAAGTCTGTAAATGTGTACATATAAGAAAAAGATTAAATATTTTAAGGATTTATACAAATGGTTTTGCTAACCTCGTACTGTCAGCTTGCTATATAGCTGGGAGTTCACTTCCTTGTCTCTCTTGTAACGTCGAAATTCATCAACAGCTTCCCGTACCACCGTGACAGTCAAAACAAATCCCTGTTAAAGATACAGTTAAGCAACTGAGAATTCTCTAAGTACTAGAATAGAAATACACAAATAGGAACACTCTACAGAGTAAGAACATGAGATAATTTATATATTGCAAGCACATTTGGATTTCAGTTTTTCTTCAATCTGCTAAAATAATATCTTGGTTTAGTCCAAAAAAAGGAAAATCATACTTGTACATAGTACAAATATAATTAGACTAACTAAATCTCCAAATACACGTAATTTAGATATAACTTGAAATTTAGAAAATTAAAATGCTTCAGATGAACTAAAGACAGCCTTCACATTTCAATAAGCACATTTCCCTATCTTCCATAAATTTTAAGGTTTTAGCAAAAACATTTAAGAAGTCTCCAGTTCGAAGTTCACTGCCTTTTACCTAAGAGACTGAAATGAAAAGGTAAACTGATGGCTAGTTTATTTCACATTGCCATCTTTAATGTAGTTGTTTACCAACACGTCACAAATATTGGCAAAGAAAAAGCAGGTTTGTTCTGAAAAACTAAGTATCTAAATGCTTTGGCTGCTGCCTTCACTGGACAGTGCCACTGCAGCTTGTGCTGGAAGCAGTGTGTGCTACATGCAACTAAGATGGTCTCTGGTCACAAAAGATAGTAAGCTAAAAAGAATACAGAACAGTTCAGGGAAAAGCACATAAGAGTTGCACCTCTCCATTTCTAAATCTCCTCAGATATGGTCTTCTGGCTTCTTAAAGTGCTCGGTCTTTCTTCATCAGTGAAAGGGAAATAAAATTTTCAACAGTAAAGGGATCTTTTCATTACCATAAATATGACTGCTAAAAAATTTAAATGCTTACAAATCCTCCAACAGGTAAGGTTCTAGGTTATCCATCTCCACACACCCACCAACACCTTCCTTCTATAGGAGAAAATTTATACCATTAGACTTCATTTCTTGCAGAAGTCCAACAGTTTGTCAACCTTCTCCTAATCTCCCAGAAATAAAAAGGAGTGAAGGTGGGGAGTTTTCCTAAAGGAGTCTTGACTACAATTCTCCTTTTTAAAAGTAAGGGCTGTTTTGCAGTTCCAGCCCAAATTTCCAAGACTTACTCTGTTGCAACCTTACAGTTAAACATTTCTTGCTTGTTCAGGTTTGCATTAGATGGAACAATTATATCAGAATTATGAAGAACTAAAAGAGTGCCTTTGCAAAATACGTTCCTATTAACTCCTAGGGCATAAATGAGCAGTAGGGTTGTCCCCTTTTCTGGCAGCATTTTCACTGGCTTTGGCAGTATAGATACTTTAGCAGCATAAAAAAGGCACTCCTGAAGCATCTTCAAATGTATTTGCCATTTGCACGTAGCTCATTAACTAGACAGTAATCAGCACAGAATGCAAGGTGCTGTAATTGCAGCAACTTCCCCTAGCGGTCATTGCATCTTGCCAGGCAGCTCAGTACAACTGACTGTGACTAAGAAGAATAATTTAAGAAAGATATTTCCCTTTTTCCTCATTTGCTCAGAGGAACTTGAGACTTCCTAAGGGGAGCTGCAATTGTGAAGCCAATCTGATATTAAAACAAAACAAAATGAGTCATCTTTCTTTAACTGTAAGCAGTTAAATAACTTTAGCATGCGGCTTACAAACTTGCAACCTTTATAAACTTTTTATGTTGGACTTGAAATGGGAATTCCTTTCTCTACTGTGTGAATGACAGCAAGCCAGTAAAATACAGCCTTGCTTGAAGAACTCTGGTTCTTGATCTCAGTGTATTATGCCTGCTTGTTGTAAAAAATTTATTCAAAATAAAACAAAAAAACTACAAAGTCCAAAAGCTCACACTCCACCAAAAAAAAAAAACAAACAAAAAAACAAACAAATAAACAAAACACCCCAAAACCCAAAAACTTTTTAGCACATAGTCAACTTCTATTTGGCTGGCTTTAAGCACCAGGCTGAACAATTTTTCTTTTCATTTAAAATCTTGAAAAAAAATACAAGCCAGGCCATAGGTACTGCTCTGATTATTACTGCAAATTTACCAGCAGACACATGCTACTCAAGTAAAACCAAATTTATCTGTTAAGCAAGAAAGACATCCCAATGGGTCTGACTTAAATGTTTTATATTTTCATCATACATACTGAGCCTTAATTAGAATAAAAAAATCTCTTTTACCTAGAGGTTAATAATGAGTAGAAAAGCTATTCAAGTAGAAACAAGTGAGTTTAGCAAAAAAGGGTACCACTAGCACAAACTGAGATATTGTTGTATTTTCAAGCTGTATGTCAAAACTGAGAAACATCATTCAAAATATTCTTGAATAAGTCAAACATCTATATAGAACAGATTACTGGCATTTGAAAAATACAGTATTTTCTCCCTTCTTTGGGCAGGTATGAGATGGGCTGAGATGCTAACTGATGTTTTTTTTTTCTTTATTACCCCACTAACCTACAGAGCCATACACAGCACTTCACTGTGAAGAGACCAACTTCCAGACAAGGCCGACTTTTGTCTTTTCTTACTGGGTCAGTGATGAAGACCTTATTCATTTCAAATCCCACTGTTGAACAAGCTGTCTGCCTTGGAAGTAGTTTTTGTTGCAGCAGAAGCCAAAAGTTGGCTGGAAATATAGGTGTGAAGAACTTTCAGGACAGTCTCTCCGTTTATCAATACTTAAAAGGACACATGTTGCAACAATTAAAACAACGAAATCAATCCAGAATATTTATTCTATTGACTTGTTAAGAATGACCTTTACTCAAGCAGTCAGCATGTCACTGTTTCTCCTGAATACCACTGAGAATAAATGCTACTGAAATATAGCATTTTTAAAATAGATTTAGAAAAATAAAGCATTTGTTCTTCCTGCCCTACCTTTAAACCTGGGGTGGAGAAGCTGGGAGGAAGATGAAAGAAAAGGTAATGATCTGGTTACAAACAAGAAAAGAATTCCAAATCATGGGAATATAGCTGGCAGACTACCAAGAGGGCCTCCTCTGAAGAGAATACAATTTTCAAAACTTAGGAAACCTGAGTCAGAAGCAATTGGTTTGAACAGTTTCCCAAGAAAATACTGCAGAGGGCTCAATAATAAAAAGACATTGAAAGGAAGCCAGTGCAACTGGCAGGGCAACCAATTAGGAAAAGCATCTTTAACGAGTAACTTATTTTCAAGACGCATTTTCCTCCTGCTTTATCCATGGCTTAAAATATTTTATCTCAATTTTTGTGGAAAAAAAGACATGACCAAAACCAGAACAGAAGAAATGCAAGAAAAATTTATGCTGTCAATTCTGACCTAGCCTGAAAACATAAAATAGTAAGTAAATAACAATAAACTGAAATAAATGTATCACACCAATTATCTATGTTACCAAATAAGGTTCTCTACTAGCTGAAGGGTTTTTTAGTTTGGTTTGGTTTTTTTTCCCACTTCAAGTGACCAGCAGCCAGAAAGGAGCACTCCTCACTCAGACCGGCTAGTTAACAAAAACAATCTCCAGCCTGTAGGGCAGGAGTGTGGTGGGCAGGTGGAAGGGAGGGCTATCAAACACCACCTTCTGGAGTATCTGCTGTAAAATGCTGTAAAATAATTTCAAATTACATATTTTAATCACTGTAGTTTACCAGATGCTAATTTATGAAATGCACTTAATACATGAACTTTTCATCTCAAGTTAAAAAACCCCAAAACTTCCAGTGAATAATATTTTTCTGTTTACCAGAGGTGCCCAGTACGTGTACAGGTAGCCTATTTTCAATGCTGGTACAAACTGTGAGCAGGACACGACGAGAAAATAGAGATTCAAGAAAAACTTGAACTGTTCATATAAAACCTAAAATGAAAAACACAGAATAGATAAACGCTTTAAAATTTATACTCATCATGTACATGAAATTTACGTTTCATTATCATAGGTATAACACCATTATATGGCATACGACTATATATGGTACTATACAGCACAATATGCTATATATCATCACAAACTCCTACATGTGCTATAAACTATTTTTGTATTATAATGCTATTTTTATTGAGAAAAATATTTTTATATGAATGCCTCTTTTCATTCTGAAAAAGCAATTTGCCAATTTTTTGATATTTTGAGAACTGGAGTATGTGAACTCAATCTTTACAAAAATTACATAAATATCAAGATTACTGCGCAAAGATTTACTCTAGAAATTTTAATAGAAAACAGAATACAGATGTTTGTAGAACCTCTTGTAATGATTTTATATTCACAATAAAGTTTTTTTTTATTAGTATCAGTAAAAAAAAGCTAAATAAGATTGTGAGTATCTTAAATTAGGTTTTTATTTTTAACAGCTGAAACTTTTCATCCTAAAACTACAGCATTAAAAGTAAATCTTAAGTTTTCTCTTAAGTACCAAGACTTAAATTCTGTTTTATCTGCCTCACAATGTCTTTTTGTCTTAAAAGTGTTCACATCCTGGCCTTAAATAACAGTAATAAAACAATCAAACAAAACAGTAATTGGTATCAAATGCACAGAAGCCATCCACAAAAACATTATCCTAGTCTTTGTCATTTGATCTTCTACAGAGAAACAAAACTGAGTAGGCCATACCATGCATCACTGTGAGAACACCCCAAAACTTCAGCCCTGCCTGCAGCACAGAGAAAACAGCACGCATGAACTCGTTGCCTTTATTCCCCCACATTCCCTCAGCACTCGCTCCTCAACACAGCCACTGAAGCTCTACAACACATCTGCCTCCTTCCTGAAATACTTTGGTTCAAAACAGGACAAAGGCTGCCACCAAGTCAGACTCACTCCTTCAAAAAATTTCCTGCTGTTCTTAAAAATCTTGAAGCTACTCAATGTTCAAGAATAAATGTTGTTTAGGAAGATAAAATGAATGCGACAGAAAAGGCCCAGTAAGTATGGGTAAGCAACATCACTCTCTTTCCAAATGGCGATCATGTGGCAATCGCAGAACAAGGGAGTGCTCTTCAGTTTCATACCAAGACAAGATTTCTACAAAAGCAACCACTGTTTGTTTTCAGAAAGCTTAAACCACTAAAAATTTGTAACAGATCAACAGGGGCTTTTGACGTAATTTAGAAGAAACGCTCAGCACTCAATTTCTCAAAAGATTATTTTGCAATAAATATTCATATATAGGACATTTATTAATAAAAATGAAATGTTTAGTCTAATGTCCAAGAAGAGATTCCAAGCTTTAAGTGAAGACACAGTAACCGTTTCATAGACTACACTGTCCCATTCTCCAAAGGAATGACAGATGCAGAAATTCCTTTGGTAATTAAAACCACCAATTCAGCAAGCGCATGTTCTCAACATTGCTTTAGTCCCAATTACAAAGCTAACAACATCATTTATTTTATAGAATTATGAATCTTCAAAGACTTTAAACATTTCTTGATTAGGTCAGGGTGACACGGAACCTCCAGCAGGATGATCAAAAATGTCTACTGAACTTGGAACACTGAGATCTGACAAAATAGAAAATCAATTGTTTCAAGCTAAAAGATTCAAAATAGAGCAAAAAGCCACATTTAAAAAGTGTCTCCATCTTTTAATCTTACAATCCAGTTAATATTACAGTGACCTCTGCATGAAAGTCAAAGTTACTGGACAGATACTTATTGCTCTTATCAGTCTAACATTATCACTCAATTATGTAAAAATTGATGCCCTAGGAAAAAATATTCAGGGAAGTTCATTTCAAAGTGTCTTTCTGGCAGGCAAAACAAAGTAGCAGTACCTCAAAATTGCTGGTTTCTTGCAAGAGTGCTACATTACTGTCCAGTTGAAGGCTGCCTAAACAGTCTCAAATCAAAAGATTTTTTCAAAAGCACGGTATTCTATTCCACTATTGACTAGAAAAATCGTAAAGCCAAAAAAGTAAAATTTGAAGTTGCTGGGAAAGTCGGAGCATTCTTCTAAAATGAAACTAATGCAGCATGAACCTGTACCTTATGTTAATACTGATGAAGTTCACATACGTCTTTCTAGCAGTATGTGTAACTGTTTACAAAGACTTGATTTAACCAGGTCAAAGAAAAGTACTTTTGGAGGTGCAGAACTACAAGAGCACCCATATTGCACGAGAAGGCAAGAATTAAAAAGCACCTTCCTACAAATCTTTTGAATCCTGGCAGACCACTGACAGTTCATTCAATGGAAAGCTAAACACTTCCGTCTTGTTAAGCAAACTGAAAAGTCTCCAGTTACATAAAACCAATTAAAAAAAAATAGACTATCACATCAAAGTTCAGGAGAGGCATCTTAAAAACCTGCCCATCCCAGAAGATACGCTTCGTGAAAGTTTACACAAAATTCCTAAGCAGCTGTATGAATATGTATATAAAATAATGAATGGAAATTGAACAAACTGGTGTCAAGGTAGAAGCAGTAAGTATTTTATATGAATGTTAGAAAGTTAGAGGAGATTTTAGAAAAGTTACAGCTCTTTTAGCCAGTAAGTAAGTTTCTGTTAATGTAAACATTATTTTAACCTTGTATTTTGATATGAACTAATGGAATATTACCCACTGCCAGCTGCAAAGCTAAAAAAAAAAGACAACTCTAAACAGAAGACAAAACTTCACTTGATGAAAATTTCAACCAAGGTAAATCACTGGACTCAATATTTATGACTTACTTCCGTTTATGGCTTCGGAACCAATACAACTATGTTCCCTACAAATTACTTCTAGTGGAATAGCACTAAAAAAACCCAGATAGCTACAGTCATTCTAATCAATGAAAAGTGTTAATTTATATCTAAAATAATAATTTAGAAGCATTTTATTTTCACCAGCTACTGGGCTTTATGTTTAGGATCTCACTTCATTTTGAAGTAATTACTGACTTTCCAAATACTACTGCCAAAATAAAAATCTGATTCTGCCTATACTGTAAAAAACCAGGATTTTCAAAAGGTCAAGAAAGAACAAATATTCTTTCTCTCAACAGGTAATTGCAAGCTATGACTGATCCCTATAGGAAACATGAATCTAGTTTAGGATTTGTAATCTACACTGCAGATTTCTAGTCACAATAATCAATGGCTTACTATATGCTTAATGAATTTTGTGACCTTTAGGAAAGCACATGTGGCTTAACCAATTTCAGTGTATTTAATAATTTAAATTTCAGAAGAAAACATTTACTTTGTTCAATAGAGATGAGAATATTTTATCCACCTGTGATAAGTGACATGTTATTCCTTTGACAGGAGATCAGTCTTAATTACAAAGTCATTAATTTTTTTTGTTTTAATAAAGAAATGTATTAGAAAGCAGCTGTGAGGCATTGGACCAAAGGGGCCAGAAGAACAGAATCAATACTCTTATAAACCAGAACGATTACTTAAATAAAAAATTTAAGACGAAGCACGTCTGTATTCAAATGTAGAAGACATTCAGCTTTTGCAACAGGACACAGGACTCTTGGACAGTATTAGTATATGATGAGTAGAATCATATTAGTAAAAATTATAATATCACATCAGTGTATATATTTAGGTTTTAGCTACTGAAGTTTCAAAAGTTGTCTTTTGTATTGCTATATTTCATTATAATAATTTTTTTTGAACTTTGATCTAGACAAGACTAATGTCTGTTTTGTCTTCACATAAATAAACATTATAGGCAAAAAGTTGAAATTAAGATGCAATATGTCTTCTAAGAAAAAAAGTGATGAAAATACCTCCACTCCACAACAAAAGTATCATCTGAAGATTGTATTCAGAATCAAAAAATAATCACTATTTTTAAAACTGTAGTAAGAAATACGACTCTGAAAAGTACTAGTCTACTAACTAGGCCTTACTTGTTATCATATAAATTGAAGAGGTTGGCTGTTTCTTCCTTTAAGGAGTTCTGTTTCAGAATACATTATTTATTATGCTTTCAATGGCAGGGAGTATGAGAAAATATCTATGGGAGTACATTGCAATTTTGAACTATTTATTTCTCAATTGAAGTCAATGCTTTGTAGTATTTTCACAACTGACTTTGTAGAAGTGCTTCTATTTTAAAAGGAGGATTACAAGTTTCTAATGATGAATGGAAAAGTGCAAGGAAACCCATCTCAAATTTCTAAAGCTTCACTGAATTCCAACCGCTCAATCATACACACTGCAATTCTTTAGTAAATATCCCTTTGAAAACAAAACAATTGAGGAAAAAAAAAAGCAGCCTTGCATTCAACTGTCAATTTTAATTAAAGACATTGAGATAAATGTAAAAGAAAAAGAAGAATCTGGGCAAATAAAATTATCTTTTTGCAGAATCATCAAAAATACTACAGAACATATAGTTAGCCCAACACCAAAAAGTGTTTAGTAGCCTTACCCCAGGTATAAAGGTAAAGATGTTATATTTTTGATTTTTTATGGCATTTTTGGGGTACTTTTCTTCACACTTTTCAGGACACCCAAGCCACACTGTGCGAGCTTTCAGCTCTTTCTTTCTTCGGCATATGTTTATGAGCCAGTCGGAACAACTGAAAAGAAAAACAATTGTTTACTTCAAAACTAAAAAAATTACTATATGTGATTATTATTTCTAGACCTCGAAGACTAAAGGCAAATATCTAAGAAAAACAGGCTTGAAACGTTTTTGCTAAATAAATTAGCGAGTAGGACGTTGACTTCTGATTTTTAGAGCAACTACACAATTACTCATTAAGACATATACACATATAAACACTTAGATATTCTTTACAGGAAATCCTAATAGAATAATGACAAATTTCACTACACCTTGTCCGGACTCAGGTTCCAAAAATTCTAGTTAATAAAAGTCTGCATTAGCAGTGATTAAATTCCCTCACCATTAACTCATCCATCATACCTTACAGTCCTTTGGCCAAACTCTTTATCTTGTATTACTGATACTCAAACTATGCTAATGATTGGAGAGGAAATAAGGCTTCTGTTAGCTAAAGAAAGATTTCAACAGCTTTGCATACAATTTCCACATAATTTCTAAATCTTAATTTCCTTCTTAAGACTGCCTACAGCAGACATAACAGGGAAGCATACCTAATGCCACACTTCCAAATGTTTTCAACCAAAAAAACCCAAACAAGTACAAAACAAAAAAATTATGTAAATGAAGATCACACAACAATCTGCAATGGTAAACTTCAGTTCACAGAAAAACTGAAAAGCATCCTTGCCTAACCAGCTTACAGCTCTACTGAAGAGGGTTTAAACTATGAGCAATAAGATAGGCAGGAAGAGCTCACAGCCACCTTTAAACAACTGCAACTCGGACAAGAACACATGACTGATGGGACAGGATTATAAGGTAGGAGGAACAAAAGGCTGGTAAACATAATGATGCCACTGAGGCTTTGCAGACTATTTACTAACAATAGTAAAATAAGAAACAAACAGGGATACCACTCGGTTCACACAGCAAAATCAGCCTTGCAAGGACTATCCACAGGGGCACGCTATTAACACAGATGAGTACATGTGGTTTGGAAAAAACTGGCAATGTGGAATGAAAAGCAGGTTTGTCACATGCTATATATACTTGTTTCACAATGCTGTATGTTACAGGAGAATTTACCTGCATTTTTTAATACTTGGAGGAGGTGCCTTAATCATGGTGGGAGTCTGTTCTAGGCAAGGGAATCACGAAGACTGAGCAGACAGGCTTTCTGCAAGCACCTACTGCAGCCAACCCACAGACCTAGCTGGTCACAGTAGATTTCAGCTACACCAGCAGGTGAAGTTGAAGGCAAAGGAAAGTGATACATGTTTTTTTAGTGAGGTTTTGGAACATACAAATAATATTTGTGATGCAGGAAAAAAGTAATCATTAGGAAGCTCTTATAAACTGCATTCAAACCAACAGAAAGGATTTTGCTGAGAACAGGAGGGAAAAATTATGACCCAGGCATCTCAGCATTGCTTCCTGGATGAATTTTGTGTACTCAACCTGTTTGTACACACCTGAAAGAAAACAAAGTCATAACCAACACTGACATGTGAAGAGCAACCTCCAAAATGGAACTAATTTCATTAGAAAAGAAGAATCAGATGCACCACTGCTTGAGAGTACATGTTCTCTCATGACTCCTGGAGCTTTGAACACCCTGATCTAGTGAAAGATGTCCCTGCCTACGGCCAGTGAGGTTAGACTCGATCTTTAAAGGTTCCTTCCAACCCAAATAATTCTATGATTCTATGTCTCTAATAAAACTTATCTCTCAAGACGTATCTCATAAGGAAAGCAAAGGAACATATTTCTGTTGGAAAAATCATAACTGCAGAGTAGCTTGTCATAAAACCAAAATAATTTCAGTAAAGTTCAGCAAAGCTTTATGTAGAACCATTTAACATTTTCCACTATTTACCGGGTAATTGACTATTGAGTATTTCAATTTTCAGGCAACAAAAAGCTAGAAGAGACAGGAGTACATGCAAAGAGGAGATGAAAATTCAAAGCTGTATTGACAAATTGGAATAACTACTTGGAAGAGACAGAATGCAGTTAAACAGGCAAAAGTGCAACACAGTACGTTTACACAGAAACTATCAATTTGTAAATACAGAATCAGAAGGTGGCTGGGAGTCGCTGGGAATGGGACACAGACATTGAGTAAATGCTTCCAATGACTAGGGTGAAAAGAACTTAAGAGACTGAAACTGCTACAACTGCAGGTCTCCAAGTTCTGGTTAGATCAGACATAAGTGGTAGGTGCAATTCATCCTCTGCAGGGAAGTAATCGTCTGGACAACCTCTTAAGGTACTTCCCTATTCTGTTTTTCTACAATTACAGAACCATGGTACACACAAATACGCAGGTAAGGAGGGCTGATAATTACCTTACAGCACCACAGCCCAATTTAAAATGTTCTTGTCTGTAGCCTACATTACCCCAGGCCTATTACAAACCAATTTTGCCAAAGAACAAATGAAATTCAAAGTTGCAGGCTCTTTTTAAAGCAAACTATAAGTTACGCAACAGTAGAACCATTCAAAGCAACATTTATTTTGTTACGAAAATGCCACTACAGCAATACAAGCCGACATTTAAAACACTTCAGTTTTAAATGCTGGATTCTTAAGATTTTCTCCCTGAAGCTTTCACTATGGGACAGACATCAATTTGCTTTGATCCTATGTAAACATGCATATTTGTTTTTGTTACAAATTTAAGCCCATTCAGCAATTTTTTCCCACTTCTAAACACTGACAAAGAACTATTCTGTCATTAAAAATTGTAACACTTAGTTCAACATTCAAGATTCAGCCCTGTTATTTAGTAACATACGACTGAGAAAAATCAAGTTACTTTAATCATTAGTTAAATTTGTCTTTAAAGCAAAATGAACAGGTATCTCTACGCCATGGTTCCACAATCAGTTTAACAGCTGTGAAACTGCTGCTGCTGAAGTGGCTGGTGCCACCCTCCTCCCATAACCAAGGTGTGGGTTCTCGCCCCTTCTCTTGTGTGGACACAACTACTCATGCAACTGCATGGGTAAATCAGGCCCGCAAACTGATCCAACTGCAAGCCAATGCAGAATAAAAAGGGGGACTATTTTCAGTTAGATCAATCGCTGATTTTTAAAAGCTATAGAATTGTAAAAATAGTTGAATAAACACAGGTTATGTGCTTGCAAGAGAAGGTGCAACAATTTCACTCAGTGCCAGCTTGGACTTACACTTGATAAAACTGCTCATGGAATTAAAGCTTTAAATGTATTCATATCCAGGGCAGGGGGGTAAAGAGGCCAATACAAACGGAACAGACAGCTCAGCTGTAAAGCAAGAAGTGTCAGGACAGATCTGTAGCAAAATAGTTCATAAGAAAATAATTTTTTCCAGGGAAAGTGAACAAGCATGACAGCTTCTGCCTAAAAGCCCATAGACAAAAGTTTCCTGACAGCTTTTGAAATTTTGCATTGCTTAAAGCAGTTTTTTAATCTAAACTGTAAACAGACCGAACATTTGACTAGGCACAGTCTCTTTGGTAGCCTAATTTCCTCAGACACTGAGGACTTTTCTATTGCTAATATTAAACAACTGAATAAAGTAACTGAGTTATACTGCCTTCCTTGCCACAGCGTTTCCCCTTCTTGAAACTCCTTTTTCCATTACAAGTCGACAGAGAAGATGAAACAGATGCCACAATGACCATTAGTTTAACAAATACCAAGAAGTACAGACACAAGAATGATGTCTGACTGGGAAACAACTGTGGTACCTTTGATAAAAGGTATTTGACCGACACAGAGCTAACAAGTTCTGCAGCATCAAGTTCTCAGATGCAAGAAAGTCTCAGATTATGGAAATATTACATGTTATGCCCAAATCAGTACTGTATTGGTTCAGATAAGTTTTACGACCTTAAAAGTAAAAGTCAGTTAGATTCTGCCATTTATAGTCTCAGCAGTAAGCACTTTTATCACAGAAAGAATAAGAGTTGTACATGCTGGCCTCAGAAATCCTAATCAATTTATATTAATTCAGATTTTAAGAACACTGAAGTCTACCCAATATTTTTGAAATTCAGATTACCAACACCCAACACACACTTAATCTGTTCTTAAATTAACATTCCTCAGTGCAGAAACTATTTATGTGTAGGAGTATGACTGCTTGCACGGGCTTTTTGTACCCACTAGATTTGTATGAAACAAACACCAGGAGATAAATCAGAATACCTTTCTCTGAGCTTGAAATATCCTAAAAATATGATATAAGATGTAGCATGATCAGGACACACTTTCGATTTTCCTAAAATCTTCAATGCAAAATGACACCTTATCCTATGGATCCAACAATTAAAAAAACCAAATTCTTGTTTATTGTTTTAAGCATTTATTTAAAATGCCCTTGCCTAGAAAATTCAACTAATGAAGAGAAAGTTTTTCTTAAGCTGCTATAAGCTGTGTCACCTGTATCAATACAACAGTTTGCATATATGGAGAAATGAGCTAGTTCGTGAAAGAATTTTAAGGTGTTTCTAATAAATGGCATTTTACCAAACTGCACCACATACTTTTTTTTTTTATTTGAAGGAACAAAAACCACAGTCTTCATATTAGTGATGCCACATAAAAGGAAAAAAAACCAACAAAAAAACAAAACCAAACAAACAAAACCCAACACAGAGTAATTTTTAAATGAGAACTCTTAACTTTTTCATAAAGAGAACTTAACTCTCCAAGTCAAAAGCTAAAGTAAAAGTCTCAACTGACTCTGCAACTCTAATAATAAAGGCTTTTTAAATTTTATTTTCTCTTTTCATTACCTTTATCCTACAAGCTTAACTGTCAGTATCTTTCACAAAACAGCATTTTCATCAGAATGGAAAGATAATATAAAAGCTCTATATTGTCTGCAAGGGTCAGCTTTTCCTTATTAGGTTTTAAGTAGCAGAAACTAGTTCTGCAAAGAAAACATACTGTAATTATTGTACTCAACAGGTAGCTTCAGTAATCAGGCCAAAAGCAACACAGTGGTCATGTCATTCTTAAAAGATCAGCATTTTCCCATGCTTCTGCATAACAAATGCGTTGCAGATTAATTGAAAGCGTACAGGCCATCTTAGAGCCCAAATTAATCCGAGCATTTGATATCCCCTTCACTTCATATGGAAATGCCATTCAATGGTACCATTTTCATAGGGACAAAGTGTTTTTTGATAACTAGTGGAATGTAAATCTCATGAGAAAGAAATCAATCCACCCCAAAGAACTCCAGAGTATTGATCTATGTGCATTATAATTTCACAAGCTTGAAGAGAATTTGTAAGTTAAAGGGGAAATGATTACAGCCACAAAACAGCTGCTATACCACAAAGTTTTCTTTTAACTGTGCTATGAAAGCAAGAAATAAGCAGTTTCTGAAGTTAAAAGTTATATTGGTTGAATTAAGTCTTCAGTTTGTTCAAAATCAAAGACATTTGATTTAATTATGATTTTTTTTCTTGCAAATGTAAAAACTGTTTAAAGAGCTGCAGATCTGCAAGTAAAGTTCACACCATTCAGTTCTGATCAACAAGTCTATTGTTCGAACAGAAGTTAAAAGCTGAACACAGGATTTTTCCAAAATCAATTTTAATGTACAGTGAATTTAGTCAAACTTTCCATACTTGTTCCTGCCAAAAGGGTGAAACTTTTTGAACTAAATAGTAACAGTTTGTGATGTAACAACAACAATAAAATCTATAGAATCTGAAATCCTAAAGCTGCAAAGTAAGAGATGGAAAACTTCCTCTCACAAAACTGAGATTAATTCTAACAATGCAAGACAGACAAAAAAAATCCTAGTGGGTTAGGGGGGTTTTGTTTGTTTGCAACAAGTGATTTTGAACACAAACACAAGACTTTCACCAAGAACCCAAAAGAAATCAGGGGCCCCCTTAGCTCAGCTCCAGACAAATGCTTCGTCTTTCTTTGTGTTCATCATTCTGCCACAGCTTTAAAGAATTTACGATTTAGTTTAAAGCACAAAAAGAAATTCAGGATGTTGAAGCTGAGATATTAACCCCACCCAGTCTCAGGTATGAGATACTAATTCCCATGAAAATGGGGTGAAATTTTAAATTCTGTTCAATGGAACAAATTTCAGACTGTTAAGCTTTAAGCTCACATTACACTTAAACAAACACAGTTTGTCTTCTATCCCAAACTGATACTTTACACCACATAAAAACGTGTTGTGTAAGTATTAACTGCATGTATGACAATACAGCAGCGTCCAGGTTTTCTTTATGATCTTTTGCATTATCCTGGGCTACTCATCGCTCTCTACAACTACCTGTAGAGAAGTGAGTGTTGGTTTCTTTTCCAAAGTAACAAGTGATAGGACCAGAGGAAATGGCCTCAAGTTGCACCAGGGGAGGTTTATATTGGATGCTGGGAAACATTTCCTCACCTTAGGCTTGTCAAGTACCAGAACAGGCTGCCCACGGAGGTGGTGGAGTCACCATCCCCAGAGGTATTTAAAAGATGTGCAGATGTGGCACGTGGGGCCATGGTTTCGTGGTGGACTTGGCAGTGCTAGGTTAACGGTTGGACCCAATGATCTTAAAGATCTTTTCCACCCTAAAAGAGTCTATGATTCCGTGATTCTAGCTTTATGAACTGCAAACCTATTAGGCATGTCAAAAAATCTAGTATTTGGTGGCTGCAGCAGAAATACATAGTTTTATGAGAAACCACCAAAAAGATAACACTGACTGCACATCCCTGACTTTTATCAGTTAGGAAGCCTCGATGGTGCTCTCAGCGCAGAACCACAACAGATGTTTACAAGCTTGCTCAGAAATGCTCACCCAAGCTGAGGTTTTTTTCCAGGCTGACTGGACCAGTAGATAAGATATCATGGGATTCAACTTCCTTCCAGCTAATTTTCTCCATCTCATCTAAGCAAACGTCTGCACCTTTCCTATGGGAGTAGCCTCTGACTGCGAATACCCTACTAAAATTTCAAGCTTCTACGAGGAGCTGGTGATCTTTCCCTGCCCCCCCCCAGTATTTCATTTTTCCATGAAAAATTAAAGTTATCTGCTATGATGTTTTGTTAGAGAAAACACTAATAGGATTAAAATGCCTCCAGGTATAAATACAAGACTAAATGAACTCTTTACTGTATCCAAATTCAGTTGAGGAAATCAGTAAAGGAGAAGTCCTATTCCTCTAAGGCCTCTTTCATAGTGACAGCTTTTCTTTTACACACCTACATTTGCAGTAAAATATGTATAACACAACAAAATAATGCATCCATAACGCAATTTCCTTTTCATTCTCAAAAATTTATCACAAATATGGCTCAAATATTTTACTTAACAAGTTCTAATAAATTTTAAAGTTTCTAGGCTTGAGATCCACTTAGCCAAGATGTACCTATCAATTATAAAAGCAAGCAAGACCACGAAATTTTGCAATCCTCAGCATTAATGACACTTTCCTGTGACATTCTCTTATGACTGTTAATTAGTTCCAACATAAACTCAGCTTGCAATTGCCTGCCTTTATCCAAACCCTGTAAATTCTCTCTCAGGGCAACTACAAGGTGTAGTCTTTACTGGTCTACCTGCTCGTATGAAACTTACGAGAATGTAATCACAGGAACTACAACTCACTAATACTTAAAGAGCCGAACTCACCTAAAGTATATTGTTTGAAAGGTATCTCATTTTTAAGATATGTCCAAAAGATTAATAGCTTCTTTAAATACTTTACAATGTTTTTTTATAATCTACAATGTTTTTTTATAATCTACAATGGTAGTCCTACAACAGAAACATTGCTTCCAAAAATCACTTACATACACAAATGTTTCTTCTGTAAACTTTGCTACCTTACTTCCTTCCTGCAACTTTCCACTTATTCCCTATAATAAAATTAATAATCCATGAGTTTTTGTTAAATCATTATAGAGAAAAGAAATCAACAGAGATTATATTTTCCTGCAAATATTAAAGCTGTATAACAAAATTATTTAAAAACTAAAGGTGCACAGATACAGCTGTGATAAGGTAAAAGATCAGTATCAGGCCTCTTGGAATTTATTAAGTACCATGAAAACCATCTGTGAAGACTTCTATCTAAACCAGTTTAAAATGATCTGCCAAAAAAAACCAAAAAAAGCATTTATCTTTTAAGTTCCCTGAAAAACGCTCCATTCACTTCTCTTGATTGATTCACAGATTTTATCATTTGAGACAAAAAAATAATGATAATTTTTAATCATTCTAACAGAATTTCTGTATTCAGAAATTTGCTAGCAATTCATTAGAAAGTTATTATTCCAAGGCAACTGCATACAGCAGAGTTTAGCACAAAGTTTCTAAACAAGAACCAACTCTCAAGAGCTAATCCCAGTTGTAATTCACTTCAGTTACACGTACACCTTAACATTTAAAGTTAAGGTGTTAACTAATCATTAGTTAATGAACTTGCTTTTTCTTTTCAGCAACATCAATAAGATTTATGTACTGTCAACACACTAATGCTCTCAAAAGTAACAAAAAAAGTTTTATCCCTTCTACTCTGACGTGATTTTGAGTGGAAGTGAGGATCAGGCTTATATGCCATATTACGGACCTCAGACTAGTACAAGTTTAGTACAAGACCTCTCTTAAAAGCCTTGCTTTCTCTTGCAAGTCAGCAACACACATGTGAGAAGTACACAGCAGCAGCTCTTCAGAACGTTTTCTTACTAATGGCTGGTAATGTCCTAGCAGGGAAAAACAAAGCAATCAAAAGGTGCATGAGAAGCAAATTATTTTGCTCCCATACTCTGCACATACCACACAACACACAGTTACTATTTACTTAATTAATTTAATAAAAACTACTGTTATGCAACAAACCTAGTGCAAAGGAACTTCCAGCCGCCACAGATAAACCATTCTAAGCCTCTTCTTCTCTGAGAAATTCTGGCTCTTGGTAGAGTATGGTAATCACTCTCATCATTTTCAAAGCCTTCTTCTGACATCATTAGTGGCATTTCATCCAAATGAGAGGACTCATCTTCCACTTGGTATCTGGCAAAATGAAATAAAATCACTAAATAAATAGCCAATACATCACTTTTTATTACCAGGAATCTCCTAAAGTAACAAGTCAATTTTTGCCATATGGTATTCTATTAGAGGAATATTTTCCTCTGAACATCTCATGTATTTGTGCTAACACATCAACAAGAAATTCTGATTTGAGTTAATAATGTGTAATACAGCAAAAAGGCCTGTAATCAATCATTGTCAATCATAGTATAAATAATTCTAGGGAAATTCTTGTTTCTTATATTAATTTGTACATACAGAGCTGCAACTTCATACTTTTCAAAGGATTCTTTGTAACATTCTGTGAAACGGAATTTACTTGGCAGTTGACAGCAGATGCAAACGACCAAGTTTTCATGGAAGTACAGACTTCAGATTTCCACTGAGCTTCTTCAGCTTGCTTTTCCTGATGTCTATTCCTGTGCACGCAGGCCTCTGAGTCAGGCTTTCTACACAACTCATCAGTATCTTTGTTCTCACTACTAAGGCATCATAGTTATTTTTATAATTCTACACAAAAACATTCAGCAAGTCAAAACATCTGCCTGTGGGACTTAAGGAAACAACAATAAGCTAACAGCAGTCCTTTCCTCTCCAGAAACTATTCTCCAGAATAACTTTATTATTTTTTAAATATTTATTATCTATTAAAGTATTTATATTTATTTTTTCTCCAGAAAAAGTAAAAACTTTTAAATACAAAAACATTACCTGACACTATTGAAAATGGTAGTTAAGCAGTCTTTAAACAACCACAGCTGATGAAAAAAGTATCTGACCAGAATAAATAAAAATATACTCTTGCATATGCATATTTTAAATTTCTCAAATACTTTACAGTTCAGAAGACTAGTAGGCTATCATCAACCTGTTCTCTGTGTAATATGTAATTTCTCTACCTTGAAATTATTCTTGCACTGGGAGTAGTGAAGAGTAATTCCTAGAGCTCAGGGAAAAGAAAAAAAAATCCACAAGGATTGAGTCACCAAAAGAAAAAAAAAAGTATTTGGCACAGAATTAGTAATTTTGATTTTTATGAAGCTGTATTGTACAATCATCTCTTACAACCTGCATCCTGTGTCTGACCCATTTTCCCCACAGCAACGTAAAACAAATCTGTAAGAAAATAGTAATTAACAAACCCAAAAATCCATTCCCTTTATGTGAGGGAGCAGCTGAAGTGCATGGAGGTCTGCCCAGGGACAGATGACGAGCCAACTGAGAGCTTCTGGGTCAGGAATAAACAGAGGACAGCTAAAGGCAACATTATAGTGGGTGTATGCTATGGACTGGCTGAACAAGAACAAGAAGCAGATAAGGCCCTTTACAGACAGACAGGAGCAGCCTCATTGTTTGCAGGCCCTGGTCTTCATGGGAGACTTCCACCACCCTAGTATCCGCTTGAGGGAAAACACAGAAGGACAGAACCAATCCTGGAGAGTCCTGCAAGTACTTTTACAACAATTTCCTCCAAGTAATTAGAGAAGGCAACTAAGAGAGGAGCTCTGCTGGACCTCTAACCAAGCAAGGAGGGACTCACTAGGGATGTGACAGTCAAACACAGCCTTGGCTGCAGCAACCATGACATGGTGGAGCTCAGGATCCTGATGGCACGGAGGAGGGTGGCAAGCAAGATCACCACCTTGGGCTTCAGGAGAACAGATCTGGCCTTTTCAAAAACTGCTTGGAAGAGTCCCATGGGATAAAGGCTTGAAGGGAAAAAGGGCCCAAAAAAGCTGGTTGGTATTAAAGGATCAGCTCCTCCAAGCTCAAGAGATTTCCATCACAGTGTACAGGAAGTCAGACAAAAACACCAGGAGGCCTGACTGGACGAACATGGAGCTCCTGTTCAAACTCAGATACAAAAAGGAAGTGCACTGAGGGTAGAATTAAGGACAGGTAACCTGGGGGGAATACAGAAACACTGTCCAGGCATCCAGAGACCAAGCTAGGAAAGCCATAGCCCAAATGGAATTGAATCTGGCCAGCCATGTCAAAGGTCAGAAGTCTGTAAGTACACAGGAGACCAAAGGAAGACTAGGGAAAATGTGGGGCTCACTGCTGAATGAAACAGGGGACCTGGTTACGCAGGACATGGAAAAGCCTGCGGTACTGAATGCCGCCTTTGCCCTAGTCTTTACTAGCAAGACTGGCTTTCAGGAGTCCCAGGTCTCCAAGAGCAGGAGGAAAGGGCTGGAGCAAGGAAGTTGAGGATAAGGTCAGAGAACAGTTAATCAAACTGGATATATATAAGCCTATGGGCCCTAAGGTAATGCACTCATGAGTGCTGAAAGAGCAGGAAGATGTCACTGCAAGGCCACTTTCAATATTCTTTGAACAATCATGGCAACAGGGAGAAGTGACAGAAGACTGGACGAAAGCAAATGCCACTCGTATCTTTAAGAAGGGCAGTAAGGACCCAGGGAAGTACAGACCTGTCAGTCTCACCACGATTCCCTGGGAAGGTCATGGAGCAGCTCATCCTGAAAACCATTTCCAGGCACGCAACATGCAAGAAAAATCAGAAAGAGTCAACATGGCTTTACCAAGGGCAAGTTGTGCTTGACCATACAGAAAAATTTCTGCAATGAAATAATTGGCCTGGTAAATGAGAGGAGAGCAGTATACAGTGTCTACATGGACTTTAGCAAGGCCTTTGTTACTGTCTCCCACAAAATCCTCATAAACAAGCTGCTGATGCAGCTGCTGGATGAGCCGACAGCAAGGTGAATTGAAAACCAGCTGAGCAGCCAGGCCCAGAGGGCAGTCAGCTGTGGCACAAAGTCTAGTTGTAGACCAGTAACCAGCAGCGTACCTGATCCATACTGGGTCCAGTCCTGTTTAACACTTTTGTTGGTAATCTGGATGATGGGGCAGAGTGTACCTTCAGCAAGTTTGCAGATGATACAAAACTGGAAGGAGTGTCTGACAGGCCAGAAGGTCGTGCTGCAATCCTGAGGGACCTTGACAGGCTGGAGAAATGGGCTGACAGGAACCTCAGGAAGCTCAGCAGGGAGAAGTGCTAAGTCCTGCACCTTGTGAGGAAGAACCCCATGCACCAGTATATGCTGGTGGCCACTCAGCTGGAAAGGAGCTTAGCAGAAACAAACCTGGGGGTCCTTGTGGACACCAGGTCAAACATAAGCCTGCAGTATGACCTTGTAGCAAAAAAAACCCCGACCAATATCCCAGGCAGCGTTAGGCAAAGTATTGCCAGCAGGTGAAGGGAGGTGCTCCTTCCCCTCTGCTCAGCACTGGTGAGGCCACACACTCGACTCCAATTCTGGGCCTCTCAGTACAAGAAAGTCATGGACATACTGCAGTGTCCCCAATGAAGGGCCATAAAGATGATTAAGAGACTGGAGCACCTCTCCTATGAGGAAAGGCTGAGATAGATAGGACTGACTGTTTAGCCTAGAGAAGACAAGGCATGGGCAAGATCTTATTAATGTCTGTAAATACCTGATGGGAGGTTGCAAAGAAGACTGAGCCAGGCTCTCTTCAGTGGCATCGTCACAGGACAAGAGCAAATATGCACAAAATGAAACATGGGAGGTGCCATCTGAACATCAGGAAACACATTTTTACCATGAATATGACTGAGCACTGGCAAGGGCTGTCCATGGAAGCTGTGGCACCTCCATCCTTGGAGATGTGTAAAAGCTGCCTGAATACGATTCTGGGCAACCAGCTCTAGGTGGCCGTGTTTGAGCAGGGGAAGTTCTGCTGACACAGAACAGCACCCTGCACAGTATTCAGTCCAAAATCTTGATAGACAAATCCTTATTTTAAAAAGAAAGTAACATTACAAACACCAGGACTAACCATGAAAAGACACCATCACTGGATTTTAATTTTCTCAACTTACCGTATATTTAATGCAAAAATCTGAACCCACTTTCTTTTCCCCTAGATTTTCTGTGTTGTGCCCTGTTATATACAGGAATACATTAAAGCAGTTATTAACATTTTTGGATGCCAGGAAAGGGAAGCAGGGAGGGATGGACTGTATTATAGTATTAGATGTCTACTAAAAAGGTACACCATATACATTGGCTATATAATAAATTGGTATCAACACAGTTAAGAAGATCTAATAAGGAAGGAGAGGGTAAAAAAAAAACAACCAAAAACCAAAACCCACACCCAAACTCATTACTGGCTAACCAGCTGTCCTGGTTTGAGTTAAACAGAACGAATTTTCTATTTAGTGATTTTTCTTTTCAGCTCAGTCTCTTTTAAGTGGCTGAACTTGCTGAAACTAGCAGCGTGTTTTTCCAGTATGTGCTGCTAGAAGATACGCTCAAGGTCAGCTGTCCCACCATGGGTTTCGTGTCTGCGCCTACAGAGGGGAAAGCGGACCCAAAACTGACCGACAAGGTATTCCATCCCACATACGTCATACTCGGTATAAAGCCAAGGGATCACGAGGGTCTCGGCCCTTCTTCCATCTTGGAGCCCTTCCATCTTGGACCCTTTTGTCCATCTCAACCCCTTCAATGGCCAATGTCAGAGCAGAACCCTGCTGGTTCGTCTGCCTCTGATCCTGATTCATGTGTTCCTGCATCCTGCTCCCACCTGCTGCTGAGTTCGGTCTGGGACTTTTCCAGTGCCTTGCTCTGCAGAGCCTCTGGTGGCGTATTCGTCATTGGGGGAAGGTGGGGGGAGGATTTTATATTGGTTTTGGATATGTATTTGTATATATTTCATTATTTTCCTATTTACAGTATTATCCTATATTATTAGTACTATTGTTTTATTAAACCTGTTAGTTTTATTTTCCAACCCATAAAGTCTCTCTCCCTTATTGACTTTTCTCTTCCCTTCTAGGGAGGGGAAAGGGGTTAACAGAGAGCATCTGTCCAGGATTTAGTGGCCAGCCCAGCCCTAAACCACGACACCAGTTATCAGCTAGACGCTTCTTTTGGTTGGCAGGTGATGCCCTGCAGGATTTTTTCACCTCCTCCGAATCACTT